TAAAACAAAAAAAAAAAAAAAAAAAAAACTATAGTTATCGTAAAAGTTACAACGAATTTATGATACATATTAGTTTGTGATATGTAATTGAACAATAGTGAGGTGCATGAAGATTATTATATTTAAAATTTGAAAAGTAGTGAGTAGGCATGCTTATATACTTACATTATTGGCAAAGAAAATGCGATCCTTCTTATATTTTTTGAAGTTGTAGACCCATGAGTTACAAACAAAGTGGATAGTAGCTTGATTTGGAATATCCTCAAGAGTGACACTGACAAGGAAGAACTCATCATAAGTAAAGTTTCTTATGTAAAATGCTCCTGGAATTCCGAAATTAGCATCCCATTCAAAATGAATATTGTATGCATCGCGTCTATCTCCTAAGGTTGGTAACGTAGGAACATGCTTCTCCAGAAACGTTTCCTTTCCAACTTTCCCATTTCCCTTCCCTACAAAAAAACATACAAATAAAGCCAAAAAATGAGTCTTTAAAAAAGTGAAACACGCATATATAAATATTTTTATACAAGTAATTTACAAAGTAATGATATAATCATCATGGGCAACTTGTATATAGGGATATACTTAACAAATATACATTTACATTTTTAATACAACTCTCATTAATATATATTAATTTATGCACACTTTTGAGATAAAAATTTCAACTCTAATAGAAGAATATAGTGAATTATATATACATAGTAATTTTATCCATTTAAATAATGAAAATAATAGTGCAAGTGTGGAGGGAGGAATAAACAATGGAACAAACCATCGGTGGCCGTAGCACTTATCAATTGTAAGGAGACGTTACGAGCTAAGATGGCGGTGGCAGTGTCAACAACTTGACCGGCGAAGTCGGCGACAACACCGAAGACACCGGTGACGACACCGCCAACACCACCATTTCCAACCTCATTTAACTGGTTAACGTCCAACACATTCTTTGGCATCATCACCACAGTGCCCTTTATCTTCTGGCTCTTGCGCCCAGACATTTTTTATATTCTTTCTTTTCTTCTAGTTTGTGAGTTGTGACCAAGGCAAGTAGCAATATGCAGGTTATTTATAGACGGAGAGATTAGAGACATATAACCTATATTTGAACGTCTCAACTTGCGTTGCCAAAGGTTCATTAATTATTATTATATATGGGCTGCTAATAACCCCATGTCAAACGTGATTTGTATCAACATATATATTCAATTCATCATGTATCTTGTATTTGATATTATCTATAAATTTTATTCATTACTTTAATCTCGTTAGCTTATCTTCTGTCCTTTCATTTTATTATTTTTTAAATGACCAAATTAATAGATCAATACTGAAACTCATTATTTAAGAGATTAGGTGGGATAATTAATGACTAATCTCTCCTAATGGGGTAAAACTAGATTTGAGTTTCAAACAAAATTTTCTTTAAAGAAAATACATGTGAGAAGAAAAAAAATTACTAAAAATCATTGTGCTTTTTTAATTAAAGTTGAAGTTCGATCTCTAAAATTACAACTCTAGAATTACTATTACTTTACTCCTAAATTATAGGGCATAATTATAAAAGAGAGTTATATATATATATATATATAT